ATCTTATCTCAATCAGCTTCCCCATTCCATTTTTCCAGGGAAATGCCCACAGTACTGGCTATATAATTTGTAAAAACCTGTGAAGAGGAAAATGCGGCATGCTTTGTTCAAAATTAATCATTTCAAGATAATAATAGCACAACAATAAATCAAGTTCTGGAAGTCTTTTCAATGAGATAAGACAAAGAAAAGAAACAAAAGGCATGCAATCTGGAGTAGTTGGACCCCTTGGACTCCTCCCAATTCTAAAACCCTAGGTTTATATTTCAATATATCATAAGTATTAATAATAACCCAAGTGAGAAAATATTTGTCATTTTTATTTAATCTCATTAAAGTAAAATTATCAAAGCCCCAGTGCCTTATCACTGCTTTCAAATTTTTCCAGTTTTTCTAGACTATACATTTACCTTTTGCATCAAGTTTTAATGTATGCTGTAATTACAATGAGTACAGTGGTTTGATATCCAAGTGACCAGCAGCCTCTTTCAACTGTGTTTTCTTATTCTTTTTCCTTTTCTTATTAAACTTTCTTTCACCCCTCTCTTCTCTGCCCCCTTTCTTTTCTTATTTCCTTTCTCTTTTTTTGGAGACAAGGTCTTATTATATTCTTAACTTGTCCCAAACTTGCAGTTCTCTTGCCTCAGTCTCTTGAGTACTGGGAGTCTCCTGCACCACCATGCCTGGCTAAATGTATTTTCTAAAATAACTTCATGTGGGTCCCTTTCTTTTGTGGAACAGATTAAACCACAGTCTATTACTCAGACCACATTCCAGAAAGCACAGTCTTTAGGTAGAGTCTGGGTTTTCCTTCTTACTACTCTTTGCTAAAAGAATTTATTTTTTATTTTATGTGTATTAGTGTATTGCCTGCACGTATGTAAGTGCACCCATGTTGTGCAATGCCCACAGAGGTCAGAAGAGGGCATTGAATTTCCCTGGAACTGGAGTTACAGATGGTTGTTAGCCACCAAGTGGGTGCTGGGAATCAAACCCAGGTCCTCTGCAAGAGCAGTCAGTGCTCTTAACCACTGAACCAACTCTCCAACCCCCTTCTTACCAGTCTTAACTAGCATTATTTTGCCTGCAAATTGAATTAGTGCAATATGAGTCTGAACCTAACTAATGCAACTGACTGCAAATGAAGCATAGATTCTCACAAGAAAATGTTGCAACAAAGAACAGTGGTAGATTCAGGGCACTGTTGATATGACTCAAGCCCCAGAGACCACCACCAGCACAGAACCTTATAAGACCACTTTAAAAGACCTCAAAGAGGGACATTTTATCAAAATTAGGAGAAACGTTCTTTTCACATTGGTTTTTGTTCTTTTTCTTCCTGATAGTGGATATGGAAGATCTTTTGAGGGATTTGGCTAAAGGAAACTAGAATTACAGAGAAGTTTCGTTTTGAGTTTCATGGACTTAACTTGGTAGTTTTCAGCAACTCTAGATATAGCTAATTATTGCTAACCATACATGTGTAAGATTAACTTTGGAATGCTCCTACAGTCTCCTATGCCAATTCATGTACTACAGGGACAATTAAGACCCAAGCTAGAGACTGAAATTCATAATATGAATGAATCAAATGGACTCTGACCCTGGACTGGGTGTTGTAACAGCAACAAGGTTTAGGGCAGAGTCAAAAGTTGTCTGTGGAAAATTCTTCCAAATCTTATATCTTCTATGTATGAAATGAAGTAGACAGGCTTCCCAAATCTGACAACTATCCCTAATATTTATACAATGCAGTCAATAATGAGTTGTAAAGCTAATAGAAATTCATCAATAATAAATTCAGATCAAGCACAGTAGAGGAAAGGAAGAATTATTTTTATACCATCTACAGAAAATGCTACAACACACTTACTGTCAAATGAAGAGGCAATCAAAAAATATTCAGCCATGCAGAAAGGTATTATGAGCTGAGCTAGGTAGTTGAATGATTGCTAGTTTCTCAATTTTGTAACATGCATGGTACTTGTCAGCTCAGCAATATGTTGTGATTTCTTTCTCTCATTTCAAGTAAATACTCACTTTCAAAGCATATTTTGTGTTATTTTCTTAAAGAGGGTTGCCTAGATTGCATAAATTTCTGGAACCACAAAACCTGGATCACCCTTGCACAAAATCTTTCAAATATTTAGAAATAAGATAAAGCTATTCTTTTGGGTTAAGGATTTGTTAACAAAGCAGTCTGGGATTCTTGAATCTGACCTAGAGTTGGTCAGGTAGAGCTGGTAGCTCTGGGGTGTCAGAACTGAGAACACAAGAACTGTGCAGATCCATCACCAACCACCAGGCAGGAGCAGGCCTGGGAGAATCTGGCACCTACAATGAATTTTTGTTCCAGAAAAGAAACTTCCACAAGGGTCTACTGAAATGACCTAGTGGAGCTTTTATCCCATTTAAAAGAGGAAGGCAGTGATGCTTTTCAGACAAGTGTGAACAGTAGATTTGGGATATCTAGGTTCAATTCACCTAGTTTAGGTGGTCCTAAATATAAATGGAAAGTTAAGGATGAAGAAGATAATGACATATATGTATCAAGATGCCACAGTGAAACTCACTCCTTTGCATATTGATCTTAAGCAATTTAAAAGGTAACTTAACCTAAAATACGTATGGGGGAAAACCCTGCAATCCCATCTTCTCCCTGGGAAGAGAAAGAGACTACATAAAATTAAAGAAGAAAAAGCTGAGACAAAGCCACCCAGCTGCTGACAACGGAATACTGTATCTCCCTGCCCTTCCCTGTGCTCTGCCAGGGGCTGAGTACTGGGCTGACTGATGGATGTTACAGGGGGATCCTGTGATCAATGTGGCCAGTGACCTCTAGTATGATCTTGTGACTCTGTACCCTTAGAGACTTGAAGATTCCACGCTGTACTCCACACCACATATCCACCCTATCTTTACCCTGGTAGGACTATCACTTCAGTTTCATTGAAAATCAATTTCCTCATAAAGTTTTGCCTAGGAAGTTACACCCAGGGGAAATGAGTCACAGCCAAAATAATGAAGTATGGCATTTTCTTTTTCATTATTAAACATCTCCCTCACAAGAGCAGATGGGACTGTTGTACTGGAATCATCATTCATAAACAAGTTGTGTCACAGACCCCCACCCTTCCCTAAAATGAAGGCCTTTCCATGTAACTACTAACACTGCTTAATTCATTCGTTAACAATTCTGTGTGCCTGCTCTTTCTGTATTCCCCATTCAAATATTTACAATCTGTCTTCTTGTAGCCAAGGTAATGCAAAATAAAAATATGATAATTATATTTCACTCCAAGCTCATAGTTCAGTTCCATTGGTAGTAACAAGAAGTGACCATACACCTCTGGCTGCTGGAATGACTACCCCCATAGAAAGAGACTGAAGTTTTGGGAATAAAAAACAAAAACAAAAACAAAAAAACCTTCCACCCACTGTAAGATCCCAATTCTGAAAGAGTCTAGAACTCAGTGCTACTTACATGATTGAAGACTCCTCCATTTGTGCTGGGTCTGAATGGTTCATTCATACAAGATGTTATTTAACATCACATTTGACAGGAAATGCAAGGCATATGGAAGCCTTTAAATGGTCCCTAGTGCTCTGTTTCAGTGTGACCAGAGAATCAGAGTACAGAATCAGAGCGTGCACCATCCTGACTCTAGCAGTCCCCAAAACAACATGCTGCTTTCAATGATCAAATATTTCTCTTAGCTGTTTGGGGAGGGGGAATCTAGTGATAAAGTCTGTGATATAAAATAATAATGCATTCTACAGGAAAAAGAATGACAGGGGATATGACTGCAAGACAGAGCAATACAACAGCAGGATTGACCCCAGCTTGCTTAAACAAAGACATTTCCCAAAGAACATAACATTCTCTGGTATTGTGAATTTTGTGGGATCTTATCCTTCTTCACATTTTTTCTTTTTTATTTCTTGGCAGAATGAACATGAAGAATGAATATATCATGATGATGCATTATACAGAAGAGCAGGTGGAGGCTTAGCAAGGCAAATAGTTCATTCTTTTTATTTTTTATTTTATGTATATGAGTGCTTTGCCTGCATGTTTGTAAGTGCACCTGTGTTGTGCAATGCCTGGGAAGGTCAGAAGAGGGCATCAGATCCCCTGGAACTGAGACTATGACTGTGGTTAGCATTATGTGGGTGCTGGGAACCAAATCTGGTCTTCTGCACTCAGTTCTCTTAACTGGTGAGCTACTTCGCCAGTCCCAAATAGTCCATTCATTTTCCTTTAAATTTATTTTTATTTTATGTGTGTAATACCTGCATGTGTGTAAATGTACCCATGTTATGCAAAGACTGCAGAGGACAGAAGAGGATGTTGGATCCCCTGGAACAGGAACTGGAGTTATGAACAGTTGTTAGTTACCATGTAGGTACTGGTATTTGAACCCAGGTCTTCTGTAAGAACAGCCAGTGCTCTTAACCACCGAGTCATCCCTCCAGCACCAAATAGTCCATTCTTGATGGACTATCCCTCAGCTATCCCTGAGAGTGGGTACTTGTAAAGAAGTTGCATTTCAGAGGCAGAAAAGAGGCCAACTCTGCTCCATCCCAAAATCATCATGAAATGATACAAAGGAAAAGTCAAGGGTTGCAACTTTTTCATCAGTCCTTTGTATATCCATGGAGATGCTGGGAGAAATTTCTACCTTGGTTCTCCAGCCATGTACACTCTCACCCAAACCTCCATCAACCCGGAGCTCATTCTCTTGTAATAAGATGGTGAACTGTGCTTGCTTTTACATCATCTTGACATATTTTATGATTTCTCTCTAATCAAGTTCAGTTTTTCTCTATGCTTGGTAAGGGCAAATGTCCCTTTGTCTTCTCCCCAAATACCCACTAGAGCTGACAGTCTGTGGGAATCCCTCCGTGTGGTTGCTGGACCTCTCTAACTTTAGTAAGACCTGGTGCTTAGTCAAGTCTATGGCCTGATATCCGCTATGTCTATTCTCAGCTTTCCCCACCTTTTTCCATGTCAGTCCTGATCTGTTCCTCGAGGTCCTCTGGTGACACATAGAAGTCCTCCTCTGATGTCGATGATTTGGGTCGACAGTGTCCACAACAACAGTTACAGCAGCAGCACAGGCAACAACAAAAATAGCAGCCGGTCAAGAGGCCGATAATGATGAACAGGGTCTAGGGGAAACAGAGGCAGAGCAAGGTAGAGGTAAAGGGCATGGTGAGGAAAGTGATCTCATAAGCCATGCCCCAAAGACCTAAAGACCTATCCAGTGCACCCTGCCAACCCCATACCCACCCTCATCTTTACTCTTGAAGGAACTATATTTTCAGTTCCTTGGAAATAACTTCTCTTTGCTCACAAAGGAGACAGGTGAGATCCAGAGGAAAAGACTTGCAGTCAGAGTAATGAAGTTTGGCAACTTCTTTTTCCTTGAGCTAGCATGATCATTAAGAGCAGAGTAAAGCAAAACAATAGCCAAACCAACCAATAGACAAGATGCTCACAGGTGAGGTGAGCTGGTCAAGCTGCCTTGTTCAATGGAAGTGAATTTCTCATCACAGAAGCTATAGGATACTTCTTCCTACCCATACAGGGGACTCCCTGCCCCTCCCCATGTTTTTGTTAGTCTTGTAGAATCTCTCAAGATCCCTTACAGCCTCTCCATCTCCTCTATTTGGGACAGAGCACTTTGGAGCCTCTCCCCAGTGTCTAGGTATGAACATGCCAGGAGTCTCTCTGCCTCCACTCTTGCTTCCTTTAACTCTCCCCCCTCCCCTGCCCCATGCAGGGCTGCTGGAGTAAATTATCTGGAATCCCTGTTCTCCTGAACCCAGGCAATTGGCTTTCCTACCTGACAGACACAGCCAAGTTCTTGATGAAGGTAACAGGACTCCTGCCAGTTCTCCCTGTACCACCACAACCCTGTTCTTGCACTACAGCTTGGCTCTCCAGGGTCTGCCTGGAGATTTGGATTTGTGGATTTGCCAGCCTAAACACCCCATCTCATTTCCAACAAAACTCATCTCAAAACTCATCTCTATTATATTGTATCTGATCCCACTCCAAATAAATGATTCCCTCCTTTGTGTTCCAACTGTATGCCACACCAACTTGGATCTTGATGCTTGGATCTTGGTATGCCATATTAACTTGGATCTTGACAGTTTAGAACACAGACTGGCTTATAGGTCTGGCATATTATATTAGGCTGTGAGTATCTTAGAGGCTACAATTATTAGTCATCCTTCAACCCCATATGCCTCATGGTTCAAAACCTGATATGCTGCAGATATCCAATATCTACTGAACTAATGAGTATACAAAAGTAATTAGCAAAGAAATTATTGCTTCTTCTAGGGACTAACACCAAGATTTCTCTACAAACACAGAAGTCTTGCTCACTAAAAGAAAGACATATTCTTGATTTCCCCAATCTAAAATTGTAAGAAACCCATTTTTGTCAATTGAACAAAATCAAATTTGTAAATGTATTTAAATACATTATTTGAAATAGAAATGAAGTAATCTGTATATCTTAAATTTGAATCCAGATTTTTATATAATTAATGAGCAAGAGAGAGCAAAGTCAAAGGTTACTTGTATACATACACATTTCTTCAGTGACCCAAGTGGAACTCTTCAGTGTTGCTGCCCTCACTTTCCTTCTCCTGCCTAGCTCAGGTACCAGTACCCTTCTTCCCCAGGAGTGGGATGGAGCCTTGGATGGCCTGCAGTCGGGGAGCTCTGTTCACGGCCTTATATCTGCCATCTCTTTGCTATGGATTCTGTACGTCTTCCTCATTTTAGGCAAATTTAAAAGAGCCACTGGGTTTCAGGTCCCTCCCTGAGCATGCTCCAGCTCTGGCCCACAAGGACCGCTGCTGTTCTTCACCTAGGCTTGTGCTTTTCCTTTGTACCCTGAAACTTCTCTATCATTCTCAGAATTTCCTTTTCACTCTTACCATTTTGTTTTTGTAAACTGCTTTCATTAAGTTGATTTTTTGTGTGTGAGAAATAGCCTTGCTTTGTCCCCTGCCACTGTTAGTACAATACACAAGTATCTGGTATTTAAAAAAATACACACCATTGATGTTAATTGATTCATTCATATGGTGACTATTTAATGCATGATTGTTATGTGCCAGGCCATTTTGATGGGCAGCATGCAGTTGGACTTTGGCATGCACAAAGGGAAGATATATTTCTTTGTAACATTATTTTTAAAGAACCACACATATAATTGTTTTGTATTGTATATGGTAGATGAGGCTTGTCTGTAGGGAATTTGATCCATTTCTTCAGCTTCCTGGGCAAGATAACCTAGTCTCATCTTTAGGCAGATAGGCTGCAATATTCAGTCACATGCTTGTGTGTAATTAGCTGAACTGCATATGTTCCTTCCCATGGAAAGATTGTTATGCCCGGAAGTGAGGTTCTCATGCAAGTTCACAAGAGCCCACCTTGTTATGTGCATGCTAATCTGGCTTAATAAATGACATGGTCAATATGTACCCCTCATTCCAAGTTCCAAATCCTATCAACACCACCTCTTCCTCTCAAGTCTTCCATTAGAGAAAAAGTCTAACAGATAGTAGCAGATAGTAACAGAAGGCAAGTGGGGCTTTGGGGTATCCCATGTTTATATATGAAAACAGTTTGTCTCTCCTACCAAGTTCTTCAATTTAGAAAGTTTAAGAAGAAAGCAGCAGTAAAAAATTTTGCTGAGCTTAAATCCTGTCTTTTCTGAAGATAAGGTATTTTTCATTTGTTTGTTTTTATAACAGAGCACTGGTTCCAGGTGGTCTGGAACTCGCTGTGTAGACCAGGCTGACCTCAATCTCACAGAAATCTGTCTGCCTCTACCTCGGGAGTACTGGGATTAAAGGTGTGTGCTACCACACTTGGCAAGATCAAGGTTTTTTAAATTATTGTTTATCACACTTTATTTGAATGTCATCTGTCCACAAAATATGTTAATGAACTATATGTATCTTCTATATGTAAAACTATACTTGTAACAGAAGAATATTAACATTCATGTAAAATATAAAACCACCAAACATACATATATGAGGGATTCCTAGGAAACCAAACAAAATTTACTATACAAAAAGCCAATTCTAAGCACTAAGTCTTTAAAAATATTTCCTTTTACTTAATCAGATATCCATTCCTCTTTCCTTCCCCAAGTCCCTTTCCTCCACTACTCAACTCTCACCTTTCCCCTCATTTCCTCCTCCACTACCTTAAGGCAGGCTCCAGCTGAGCTTATGGCATAATTATCACTCATAATCCCAAGTATTGTCTTTGGTGATGTAGTCTATGCTATAGATAGTAAAGTACATGGCTAAATTTATCTTATAATCATTTATTAAACAGTTGTCACACTAATAAATTATTTTTGGTTTTGATCAATGAGTCAGTTCTTAATTAGTCACCACAAGGGGAAGGGAGGGTAGTCAGAATGAACCTGAAGCTCCAAACTCAAATATAATTAATATCTAGAAATATTGTAAGTCATGTTGGATTTTATAATTAACTGATGGGCTAAAGCAAAAATGGTTCCCAAATAGCAGCTTTCAGTGGAAGCAATGTCTCATTTTATTTACAAGAGTTTAATAGACGTAAGGCTGGTCTTTCTTTAAGAGGGAGTCTAAAAGAATGAGTAATACAAGGATCTTCCAGGAAATTGTTCTGAAGAAAAAAATGTGACTCACCTTTGCCCACCAGCTTGATAGCATGAAGTAAGTTTTGACATTTTTATCTCCAAACTGCTCGGCCACATAGAGTCCCAGAGACCCATACTTGTCATAAATGCTTCTCTTGGATATGTCTGTGAGGACTGTATGGGCATTGTTGATTTCTTTAAACTTTTCAGCAGCAGTTGGGTCATCTGGATTCTTGTCTGGATGATGTTTCAGGGCCAATTTTCTTTTAAAATTAAAAAAAAGGAGAATAAATGTCAGCATCTGAAAAAATTGCAGTGGCATTTTAGAAAGGCAGGGTTTGTTTGTATATCCTTTATCTGTACACATATTGTCAAATGCAAACTTCACACTCGTGACAACTTGCCTAAGAAATAAGTTTCATTAAGTGGTGTCTTTTGTTCCCAGTGTGCAGAAAAGTCTCATTGCTTGTCCTTCCACATCCTCAAAGGAATGCTCGCTAGGGGCATAATTGCTGCTCCTACAACATCTTACTGCTGGCAGATATATGAAGCTGATCTTTACCTTGAAACTGGCCACTAGCCTACCAAGATGTCTAGAGGCCTTTACAAGTTCTAGTAACAGTCCTAGTTTATATGAAATTCCACTTAGAATCCGAAGTTACCCAGAATGGCAGAACTTCATGCTACATATTCTAAAATTTAAGGTACGAAATGAAAAATCTTAAATTTGTATTCCTTTGGACAAACACCATGGCCCCTTCATAAATCTACAAGTCCTAACCACCTTTTCTATTTCTGAACAAGTTTGACTCCTCTTGCTCTCAAGTGTACATGTGACTTCTTTCCACAGAGTTCTTTCTGGTTTGAAGACTCTGTAGGTATTTACCTGTGAGTATAAGGCCCCCCCTCATTCCCCTATGGATCATAAAACAAATGCTGAGGGATCTGGTCTGTGCTCTATGTTTGGGTGGTGGGCCTTGGAATTGCTTTTCAGTTATACTCAGCAACCTGTATAATACGAAGTCGGCTGTGTAGCCTCATGGCCAGTAAGTAGCCATTTCTCTTGCTTCCCCAAGAAACAATTCAAATGATTAAAGCCATGTTCAAAATTGAGACTGTAAGATTTTCGTTTTCACTAAAACGTCAATTTTATGACCCTCGATTGAGATACCACATGAGTGTTTTCCCTCCTGTGCCCATTCCTACATATGCATAGACGTCATGGGCTGTTATTTATTGTATTGGTTCAGACAGAATGTTTCATCTTAATATTGTAATAAAAGTCCAAACACAGAACAGAAGAGTAATATATATCTTAAAAACAAGGTCTTCCCTCTCCTTCTTGGCTGTCCCACACTGCCAGGCCTAGCTGGAGTCGCACAGCCTGTGCAGCTGCCGATAACCCAGTAAGTTTCCTAGATCCCAGCCTTCTCTCTCCCTGTTCACCATTCTAGCACTCACAGACAAGCAAGGGTTGCATAGCCCACACAGAGGTTGGAGCCTAGCAAGTTTCTCAGATCAGCCCTCTCTCCTTCTCTCTCTCTCTCTCTCTCTCTCTCTCTCTCTCTCTCTCTCTCTCTCTTTCTCCTCCATTCCACAGTCACATGTAGGGAGCCCCAGACCTACTCTGCCTACCTTCTAGCCTAGAGGTCACCCTGAGCTCTGCACCTCTCCAGGAGGGACCCCTAGATCCAGTCAATCTGCCTGCCAGCTACCCCACCCACAACTTAGATAAAAACCATGTGGTCATCTTGTTAAATGCAGAAAAGGCCTTTGAAAAAATTCAACATCCCTTCATGATAAAAGCCATGGAGAATTGGGGCTGGAGAGATGGCTCTGCAGTTAAGAGCACTGACTGCTCTTACAGAGGACCCAGGTTCGATTCCCAGCACCCACATGGCAGCTATGAACCGTCCTTAACTCCAGTTCCAGGGGAATCCAATGCCCTCTTCGACCTCTGCAGTATTTTGCAACACTGGTATACATACAGGCAGGCAATACACTCATACATATAAAATTAAAAAATAATAAATTACATTTTTTAAAAAGTCATGGAGAATCAGGGATGCAGGGGACATATTTCAATAAAAGCAATACGCAACAAGCCCATGCCAACATCATGTTAACAGAAAAGTTCAAAGCATTTCCATTAAAATCAGGAATGAGACAAGGATGCTTACCCTCTCCATTCTTGTTCAATTTAGTGTTTGAGTCTCAGCTAGAAAATAAGACAAGGAAATAATGGGGATACAAGTAGGAAAGGAAGAAGCCAATGTTTCCTTATTTGCAGATGACATGATTTTATATCGAAAAGATCATAACAACTCCACCAGAAAACACATAGACCTGATAAATATTCAGCCAAATAGCAGGATACAAAATCAATAAAAAAAACTCAGTGACCTATAAGCAAATGACAAACACACTGAGAAGGAAATCAGGGAAACAATCTCATTCACAATAGCCTCAAAAATAGCCTGAAATTACCCTAACTAAGGAAGTTAAAGACTTTCATAATAAAAACTTTAAAATATTAAAGAAATAAATTGAAGAAGATACCAGAGGACAGAAAGACCACCCATGCTCATGGATTAGTAGGATTAATATTGTGAAAATGGCCATCCTGCCCAATGACACCTACAGAGTCAATACAATTCCCAACACAATTCTTCACAGAAATTGAAAAAATAATCTTAAATTTCATATGGAAACACACAAACAGGATAACCAAAACAATCCTGAATAATAAAAGAACTGCTGGAAGAATTGCCATCCCTGATCTTAAATTATACTACACATTTATAGTAATTAAAACAGCATGGTACTAACATAAAAACAGACACAGTGATCAATTGAATGGAATTGAGGACCTGGATGTAAGTCCACATACCTACAGTCATCTGACTTTTTACAAAAAGACCAAAAATACATACTGGAAAAAAGACAGAATCTTCAACAAATGGATTGCTATGTGTAGAAGAATGAAGCTAGATCCATCTCTCTCATCATGCATGAAACTCAACTCCAAATGGATCAAGGGCTTCAACATAAGACTGATATCCAGAATCAGAGGGGAAAGTAGGAATACACTGTAACTTTTGGAAGAGGAAAGGACTTTGTGAACATGACTCCAACAGCACAGGCATTAAGACCAACAATTGAGAAATGGGACAGCACAAAATTACAGAACTTCTCTATAGCAAAAGACACCAGTATTCGAGTGAAGAGGCAGCCTTCAGAAGGAAAAATCTTGGACAACTGTACATCAGACAGAGGGTCAAAAGAACTAAAAAAAACTCAACACCAAGAAAACAACCAACCCAGTTTAAAAAATGGAATGGAACTAAACAGTCTCAAAAGACGAAATATAAATGACCGAGAAACACTTGAAAAAATGTTCAACAGCCTTAGCCATTAGAGCAGTACAAATTAAAGCTACTTTGAGATTCCATCTTACCCCAGTCAAAATGACTAAGATTTAAAAAAAATAAAAAAAAATTATAAATGCTGGTGTGAATGTAGAGAAAGGGGAATACTTATTCGCTGCTGGTCATGCAAACTTGTGCAGCCACTAGGGAAATTAGTGCACAAGTTCTTCAAAAAAGCTAGAAATAAATCTACCACAGGACCACTCTTGAGCATATACCCAATGGACTCTATGTCCTACTACAGAGATACCTGCTCATTCAAGTTCACTGCTGCTCTAGTAACAACAGCCAGGAATGGAAACAACCCAGAGTCCTTCAACTGATGAATGAATACTAAAAATGGTACATTTACAAGACTAAATATTACTCAGCTATTAAGAAAAATGAAATTATGAAATTAGAAGGTAAGTAGATGGAATTATAAACAATCATCCCGAGTGAGATAACCCAGGAATGTTTTCTCTCACATATGGATGTTAGCTTTGAATCTTTAGATATGTGTGCTTCATTTGAATACCCCTAGAGGTTAGGTAACTAGTACGGGGCCATGGGGGAGAGAGGAGTTTTGAAGGGAAGGAAATAGAATACAGTGATATAAAGAGGGAAAGAATAATAATGGACTAGGAGGGATTAAATGGGTTGGGGATGGGTGGGTAGCGTAGAGCAGGGATGTGGATGGGGATAACTAACATGGAAGGCCTCCTTTTGTATTTTAATGCTCTACTTAATAAACATTTAAATAAATACTACTTCAGAAAAATAAGTTTTCTTAAAAATGTGTTTATTAGCAATTTTATTAAGTAAAATCACAAAAACCATTTAAACTCATTACAAATTTACAGAGACTTTTTTTTTAGTCTGTTTTGCTATTTAGTTCAGGTTGACCTTGAAGTCAAGGTCCTCTTGTTTTAGACTCATGAGCACTAATACGGGCATTCTTTATAGCATCTCAGATTCCATAAATAACAGGCAATGACATCTACAAGTACCATATTATTGCTATTGCATCATAATATTAATTACTTCATGATGATATTAATTCATATTGTCCTTATTTCTACATTTTGTTCCAGATTATAGTAACAATTTTGGTGCAGTCTTGGGAAATAGTAATTATCTAGTCTCAAAAGAAAAGAAAGGAATACCATGGCAAATTGTAAGGCTCAGGATCTGATTTCCAACCTGTGATTCTTGTCTGCGGCAAAGGACCTGTTTGCTGCTCGCAGACCATTAAAGCCAAGTCCCTAAAATCCTAAGGTTAAGTTTCCTTTTCATAGACACACTTTATTTACATCTATGAGACTATTTAAGTCCACATTTGAGAAACCATATGGAAGCCTACTATTGCAGAATGCTCTAAAATATAAAAATATATACATGTACATATGTACAAAGAGTTCAAATGGAGCTATCTATAAAAGGGAACAATACTTCAACTAGACACCTCATCCTAGCAAATAAATAACCTAAGGAGCAAGAATAGTTTGCCTCTCTTTGGGCTGCCAACCTGTGGGATCCCAAAGACACTGTATTAGTCAGGGTTCTCCAAAGAAACAGAACCAGTAGAATGAATATGTATGAAGATTTATCAGCTTAGCTCACAGGATAGAGTCCGAGTAGTCCAACAATGGCTGCACCACACTGGAGAGGCTGAGAATCCGTAGTTGCTCAGTCCACAAGGCTGGATGTCTCAGTAGTCCCAATCCGGTGCTGAAGGACTGACAGATTCCAAAATATCAGCTAGTCTTCAGTGTACAGCAGCAAGACGAACTCACCAGTGAGAGAGAAGGCAAGCCGCAAAAAGCCCCACGTTCTCCTCTGCCTTGGTCTTTTAT